GGCAGGGATTTTTTTAAAACAAACAATATAAAGAGTCACTGCATGAAATTTCAAACAAGACAATTAAAGGTGTTTTCACAAGAAACAAGAAAGTTGCACATACTGAAATGATGGCTTTTGAACACATTCACAGGAACTTGTTTATATACAGAAACAAAATGGTCTCATAATATACATTTTGAGCAAATAATGATTCCTTTAGCAGCATGTATCAGTGTTCTTAGTTCTCGTGTAGGTGCCCCTGTAGGAGTACCAGTTGGAGTTAAATGCCAGTACAAACCCATGGCATGTGGGTGACAGTACTGAGCTGAATGTGTACACGTTCTATAACTGTGCAGCAGACATTTACATTACGGACACCGAACAATCTCCTTTGGGAGTGACAGTCCATCGATCCCATGTCTTCTCCTTATGGCATGGGAATCAATATAGGCTAGAGTATGGGGCTTTTATGAATACACTGACATGTATGGCAAGCACTTATTAAATGTTAAAGCAAGATGTATACACTGTATATGCCTTTACAATATCATTTTGCTTATAATTCACACAATTCCAAACAACACAGCTCTCTGTCAAAGCTTTACAATCTCTAGAAGGAAATGAACCAATGCTGGTTCTACATAGTCATCAATGCCAAAAGATTATTGGGTTCTTGGCCCAATATTGACCTTTCAGAAATTACAACTCTTCTTTACTGTGCAGCACTTAAACTGCATAGAAAAAAAAGGTTTCTATTTCCGCCTGGCTCTGTCATGGAGAGGTAGAGAATAGGTAAGCTAAGAAAGACAAATGAATTAGATGCACAAATGTAGTATAATAAAAACTCCAAGTTTCCCATTTAGTAATAACGATCTTTTTTATCTCTCCTTGTCTTAGAGTTATTTGCTCAAGGCCATTACATAATTCTGTTTTGTTCATAATCCTGATCTGGGCATTTTTTCATCCATAAACAGTTACCCCACTTATCCATGACATTGTAGTATTCAACCATCAACATAGATAAAGGCTCAGTCCTAGGTTTATCCTTGTGTGGTGAAAAAATTACATCATATTTCATAAACAGAGACATAGAAATCCAAAGGGAACAGGGTTTGATTATGTCTAATTATATGTTCTTTTCATTGTGTCTGTCTTTATTTAATTCAAACCAGTCTGCAGGAGGAATAAACACATTTTTGTATCTTTTCTGTACCACCACACAGTTTTGCAGTTTGCACACCCACCTATGGATAGCCCAACGAACAACAAACAAGCCACCTAATCACTATTCACAAGCAGCAGGCGAAGGGGAGGAACGTTCATAACAAGAGACGCTAATTAGACTAAGAGTGGCTTATGAGAAAGGCCTTAAAGAAAAGCTTCTAAACAGAAAGGAGTTAATTACTGATGTAAAAAGATATGGCTGCTATTGTGTATCAGTAAACATATGATATTTTCCAGACTAAGACTTTTTTAATTATATCTAATGCAATGCACTGCGACACTCTCACTTTGCACCTCCAGTTTTAATGTAATTTAAGCCAAGGTCAAGAAATGTTATTAGCGTAGGCACTAGGTATGATAGTAGTGCTTTAATATAAAATTCTAATTGTATAATATGTTCTTAATTATTATGTATTATCCAGTCCAATTCTTTTATGCATGCTAAAATATTCCCTTTTATTTTCTTCCTAAATGGAGCTAATGGATATACCCAATTATGCTATATAAAATGACAGCTCCTTTGTATTGTTAAGGCAATTTTAGATGTAACTTTTTGCTTGATTTGGGGAGTGATATAAAACAAACAGTTACCTGGACTGATGGGGGAAGTAATATTATTTAGCTTTTTCTTAACTGTGGCACTTCATGGACATCCTACAAGAGGAGGTACCTTAATAAACAAAAGTGGCCTAATGTTAAACAAGATGGGCTGTTTGACTTTATAGACTAAACTGATGTTAACCTCAGCTGAACGCTCTCCAGCCTCATGTCTCTCCTGTTTAAGTATGGGTCCACGGCTTCATTAAGAAATCACAGGTCTCTCCTTCAAAGATCTTTGCCTGAATTAAGACAGATATTGGTCATGATGAGCAGTAGACTAAGGCTGAATTTTTACACTGGTAGTGACACATCCTCATTCAGCCGAACAATTACTTTAATATATCACTGAATAATGGCAAAATGGCAAATGTTCAACATTCTGTAAAGGAGAAGGGAAAATCTGTCCTATAACCTTTTTTCTAAACATTATGATGCAGATGTGGTCTGATCACAACTGAAATATTTATCAGAATCGAACTGTTAAAATGAATTAACCTTCTGGTCATAACCTTAATTATACACCTAAACTGCTACTGCACTATCTATTTCACATACCTGTTTTTGTAGTTAAATTTTGTATATTATTTTGCATTAGTACTTGAATCTCCTAAAATCTGCATTTGGTGTAGCAGTCATCTCTTGAAGCTTTACATGAGTGCTGCAGAATGACAGTCAATTTTAGATTACTGCTGCTGTGAATTCCTGCAAACTGCGTTTCCCCAGCAACAGGAAGACAACATGGCAGGAAAATCGCCTTGTGCTCTCACTGAGAAGAGCCTCTCCAAGCACCAGTAAAGGAGAGTAAAGTAAGGAATGAAAAACTGTTCAAATGATCCATGCATACAGCTAAAGCCCCATGATGAGGCTTTACTGGTTGGGCTGGGATTACGCAACTGGAGAGGTAGATTTTCTCTATACTACTAATTGTTGAAAACAGACTGACTATGGAACCAGACAGCACAATGTTTCTAGTCTTAAACCATACAGATTTCCAGCCAGGCCATTGATCCGTAGCCTACTCTATAAATTTGTAGAGAAATGTTCTTGCTATACCGTTGTAGTTTCATTGATTTTTACACTGAAAATTATTAGATTATGAAACCCTATATTTCCTTTGTCTCTCTGTCCAGGCTGCTGATTTGCCTTATGTGAAGGTATGCAGTGTTATGTCAGGATGAATTGGCTGTATTGTTTTGTTATTTGATGTCAATTAATAGATTAGGCTTGTCTCATCTGACAAAAGAGCAAATTGAGCGTGCTTTTCCTATCAATCAACCACTGTAGCCTTGATATCCCCTTCAAACGCTTTCCTTGTCGTTCTAATTTTCCTCTTTTCATGCATGAGTGACTACACAATGCAGAGTACCCAACAACAAAAAGAAAGAAAAAAAAGAGAATCTTAAATAGGCAAGTGTTTTGGTGACAAATAATTGCTGAAAGTGTTGAGTGCAGCAGATGAGATGACAGCCTGTCACGTTGTTAGACAGATGCTAAATCAGCTTGGCCAGGTCTATGATATGTACCATGCACAAAACATTGGCAGATGTGTTTTCATCATTATGTTTCAGTGTTTCATGTTCTGCTGATGAGGTGGGCTTTGTCCGTGTGTACATTATAGCCACAACAGATCATTATGTGCCATCATTAGGGGCTTAGCATATCACTTCATTATTATAGTGTAATGTTTTGACTATCACTGAGAGCAATCCCATTTACTCTTAAATTCACAATTTGCTAATCTACTGACATAATATTATCATTTCAGTTACAGTAAAGCAAATGTCAAATATTGGCAAATACTGTAGATGCCATGTACTGAATAGTGTGTTGTCACAAATATGTCATACTTTTGTGCAAGTAATCATTGAAGGTAAAATAAATATGTATTATAATATTTGCAACAGTACATGCATTTATTTTTCAAAACTTATAGTAACCCTTTAAAATCTGTGATTTTGAAGTAGGTACTAAGGATGGCTTGCCCAAGACCACACTGACTATGTGCTTTGAAACCATGTATTGCATTTTTTATTGTAATAACCACAAAAGATTTGTTTCTATTTGTATGTCGTAATAGACTGAGACACAATTCTTTTCCATTTTTAAACTGAGCTGTCTTGACTCTCTTTTTAAAATTTAAATTTGACATGTTTTAGAAATGCATAAATTGCACAAAAAGGTTGTAGAGTTGTGTTTTTTACATGAAGAGATTGTACTAGAGAAGAGTTATCATAATAATATTCATGACAGACCAGTGAGAAAGTCATTATAACATCACACAGACATGTTATACCTTCATCTCTGAATGGACAATTACTGATGGGGCAAGAAAAAAAAAAAAGAAAAGAAAGAACCAATTGTGCACCATTACTGGATGAGTACTAACTGAAGCTATTATAATTCTAAAAGCTGATATCTTTTATTTTTCACATTGGTATATCCTGTCCGAACTTGATACATTAGCATTGTCCAAAACAATTAACTTAGTATGCAACCTGAGCCTGTTAAGTGTGTAGGCTTGCCCCTTGTGTGCATGTGTTGGCATGGAAACACCAGAAGCATTGTGATGTGTATTGAATTTTTCACCTCTGTCCCTGGAGTAACACCATGAGGAAGGCATGACATCTGCCCATCCCCCACCCACTACACCCATCCAGATGTGCACAGACAGGGGCATAGTCCTCACCACAAACTTACACTGTTTTGTGACCAGTTCAAACCTAAAAATATGAATTTCATAGTCTTATTTGTTTAAAGGCTGAAGAAAAGTCATAAAGGTGAATTGATGAACCGTGTTATCTGTACATATGTAACACATGTATCCCAAGTAGCAGGTTAGTGCATTTATATTTGTATAATAACTAACAATTGGGTGATTTATTTAGATTTATACATGAAAATGTATATTTAGATAGTTCATTTTCCAAGAAGGAAATGTAGCAAAGACCAGGCTTTATCCCCATCTAGTGACCATCTGCCACTATTACATCTTCCAGACCATAAAATTGCTCACATCCTTACTTGTACTACATCTAGCATCTCACTGGGGTAGAAAATATTCCCTTAACAAAATGTATGCGTGACTAAAATAAATGAATAAGAGATGGAAGAAAAGTTGTCACATTTACTTTTATTGTAAAGGTGATATTCCAAAATATTAATATGTTACAGCAACAGAGAAGAAAGTGGGGACATCTAGAAAACAGCTACACAAGACTTTGGTAAGAATCTTCGGACACATTCTTATATATATAAAAAAAATGCACAAACTAGTAATGGGAGAAATCATACAGATAGTTCAGTTGTGGTGCTTTTATATACAACATTGCAACATTGGAGCTGGAGAAAAAAAGTTGCCTGGGTTTTCTTAGTTCTAGAAACAAAGCATAGAAAATCCTGGGATGGCTCTGCACCTGTGCTTTAGCTTTGGGTGTACCTTACAAAGATGTCACTTTTTACATATGGCAGAGTAAAACATTGCAGTCTGTGTATCACGGCTTTGAGTAAGGGCGGGACCTGTTTTTCTGTTTAAACCTGATTCCTATGAACCTCCAATACAGTTTCTTCTCTCACACGATTTATATTTGGGCGTATTAGTTTAAAATACATCCCTGCTCAGTCTTGCATTGAGCACATGTATGACGGCATGTCAGTATTGCTGGGCACTGTCCCCTCACATTTGTAGTCCACGTGTGCCCCCTTCTAGCATGGGTGCACATTGCATGCCCGGATCTCCTTCCTGTCCTTGCAGCTGGACAGCTGAGCACTCTTGGACTTCTGTTTTACCGTCATCAGTCGCTCTTGAATACCTCCACCACAAAGTTTGGTGCATTCTGTCCAACTTGACCATGGCCTCATTCTGCATCCTATAGAACATTAACAGATAAATTGGCAACTTTGTTGTTATCTAGAACTTCTTTAATTGCAATTTACACTTATTTGAAACAAACAAGTTTTGAACAGACAATTGTCTAATGTATAGAGCTTGGGAGCAAATCGTAAATTGATTTGTCACTAAATAATATAACTTCTGAATGAAGTTCAGCATCTTAATAAATGTAAAATTAGGCCAACAGAAAATTCTGTATGTGATTATGATTCGATCAATCAACAATGACCTAAAAAAGAAGAGAAAAAAGTAATATTCCTGGAACAGACCTGGGTGCTCAGCTGCCCCCTCAGAGCGGCCTTGCTTGCTTCTTCTCTTCTCTCGCTGTTCTCTCCGTCTCTTCCTCTCATCACTGCTGGCCTGTCCGCGGGTGCATTTCCGGACTTTACACTTCTTTCTCTGAATGATCTCAGGACAGGCGTTCCCCCCAAACTGTGGCTCCATGATCACCATCCGAGTCCTGATGGTGTGGCCCTTTCCACAAGACTTGTTACACTCTGACCATTCACTCCACTCTGTCATGATGCAGTCAATGGCTGAAGAAAAGTATTTTTTTTATTATTACTTGTGAACAGTGTTGAAAGGAATACTTAGAAATTTTATTTATTTATAGAATAGAGAATATCTGCATTACGAGGTATTGTGTAATGTATTTAATTTCATAGTGAGTAGAGTAGAGTACTTCATTTTAAATATTTAACATACTTAGGGTTTAAGTTGCTTTATATTATAGTGTAAAAATGTGACATAGAGTTATAAAGACTTTGTTGCTTGTTGCATAGTTTGTTATACATTTATTTATCACTTGTTTGAGAAAAGTTTTCTATTTTTCTCACTAATGCCATACAGTTTGACACCTGAATTGTATGATCAAGAACCACTATGGATTCCTTTCACAACAAGCTGTGCTGAGCTTTTTTCCAACAGAGATGGATGTGAGCAGGCTCACTTACGACACTCTGGGAGCATGCACTTCTCCACCTGCTCCAGCTCCTCAGTGCAGTCCCCCAGCTCCACAGGAGACTTGAGCATGCGCTGCCGAGTCCTCTGGCCCTTCCCACATGTCACACTGCAATCGCTCCACTCCGACCAGGGAGACAGCAGACAGGGGATGGTGTCTGTACAGAGAACTCATCAGAACTACGTCGGTGATAACTGGATTAGAAAATACTCACAACATTTGGTAGCATTTGAGTCGTTGTGTTTGTCATTAATTAAACTGCAGACTCATGCTGGGCAACGGTCTGTCTGACTGCAATATACTCATTCTCCAAACAATTGTCAGTGTCAGATCAGTGCATTTCAAATTGTGTATACAAATATTTCTAATATTTGCTTGAAGGTGCATTACAAAACAAAGCTTTTCCTGGAATGTTCCACACTATGGCATAATCTTGAATTTGCAGGTGTTTGTTTGTTTGTTTTTATAATTTTTTTTAATACATTGAAAAGCATGCATTCTGTAGATGGTGCAAGCTCTACAAGAAAAATTACAAGTGCACCTTTAAGTTACATTCCTTGTTTAAAACCAGAAATTGGTATCTTCACAGCCAATGCTGAAACCGATTGTTTAGAATCCAGAGCAACCGATAGCTGATAAGCTCTGCCAATATTTCTGGGCCAATGGTTAGGGCAGATTTTGATTATTTTCCTCAATTTCTGTAATTTAAATTTACTGCAAATTCACACACAGCCTCTTTTTACCACAGACTCATAAGAGAGCTGTGTTGTGTTATGGCATTTTGTACAGTTTTCTGTTCATATTAAAGTGTTAAAATAAAGCTTTGTTTGTATTTTTAGGCAGCATATCAACCAAAACAAAATATCCAGCCTAGGGATTTAAGGTTGATAGTCGATATGCTAAAGAGTCCAAATATCTAATAGTCCAATATATCAACAAACCAATACTACTATTCAAACTAGAGTTGTAGCTGTGTATTCCTGTTTTAGATCTATTTTAGCCCTATTTTAGCCCTATTAACAGAATAGTCCTGTTATAGACCTGGTTTAGACCTGGTTGTTATTGAAAAGCCAAATATTTTCTTAGATAGTGACGGTGTGAAAGGTTTAAAAAGCACTTGTGTCTAAAGACTTGGGTCTATGGGTGTGGATATGTTGTCTGTAATGCTGCTATACTCACGGCACTCAGGCATCATGCACTTCTCCCTCTCCAGCAGCTCAGTGTCACATATGGAGCCATCTGCAGGGTTCAGTGTGACAAAACGCTCCCTGCGCCTCATCCCATGACCACAAGTGGCGCTGCATGGGTCCCACTCACCCCACTCAGTCACCAGGCAACTGCTAGGAGCTAAAAGAATCAAAGAAGTAACATGACTGTTAACTTTTCATTACATCTATGTACTTTGTGTGGCTGTAAATGTCTGAACTCACAGCATTCCTCATTGACCACACAGTTCTCCGTCTCCTCGGTAGGAAGGGTACAAACTGAACCATCATCTGGAAACTGTTTGACGTAACGCTCTCGCGACCGAGTTCCCATGCCACAGGACAGGCTACATGGAGACCAGGTGATCCACTCTGACATCATACACGTGGAGGCATCTGCACACAGGGAGAGGCTCTTGCATACACATTCACAGGAAAACAGTTTTGTCAGCTCATCTAGATTCTGCTGACAATGGCACAAATACAGACATATAATTACTGTGTTTACAATGCAATGATTACCTGGCAGCTCTTGCTTAAACAAAACAAACTCAAAGGTGCAGACAAATGTTAGAAATGTACTGTTTATTTGTTTCTCTTTCAGAGATAAAAACTATAAATATTTTGAAATAGGGTTGAAGAGCAAATCTATCATGTTAGACCGAAAACATGGTCTTGTAACATGTATGCAGATACATTTAATTATGTGCCTGTACAAGCTCCTATGCATGGAAAATACGAGAAACCATAAGCAAGAGTCAGAAAAAAAAAAAAGAGAGAGAGAAAGAATCTAAAGTGTACATACCTTCATCACTACACCCAGGGCCCATACAGGGCTCAAAGTCCTGTGTATGTGGGCAGGGCACACTGCGGTCCAGCTGGGCCTTCAGCATCCTCTGCCTCATCCTCTTCCCCTTCTCACATGTGGCAGAACTACATGCTGACCATGGAGACCAGTTTGAGTAGATACATGTTTCAGGAGTGTCATCTGACAAAGCAAATGTGACATATATGTGATATATGTGACATATGTACATTTAATAAATCACTGACAGACTTCCGTATGTATGATGTACAATATAAAACCAATCCTCACCTTCTTCCTTTTCCTCCTGGGCGATATCTGCCACAATGTCATCCACATTGTCTGGTACAATGTTACACTGTTCCCCCTGTGAACACAGATTTCTTACATGAGTAAAATTTGAGAACCCCTTATTGTGTTATTGGGTTATTGTGTAACATGTAATTGTTTATCTCTACCACCAGAGGCCACTACAGCGCTGCTGCAATCTCTATCTTTCACGCTGTGTGTAATCACACAATGAGGAACAAATAAATGCTTTATTTTAGCCTCTTAGTACAATTACACTAAATGACGTGCATACAGTGGTAGAATATGATGTTTTAGAATATGGAGATAAATTGACATTTTCACATATCTGCATATCCACTTATAATCTGATACAATGTCCTTGAGTGCCTTTGCATATTTTCAAATTGTATGACCTATCATCATTGTCCCTTTTGTAATGGTAACAGACCTTTCTGGCAATTCTTTCCACTACCACTCTTGCCACAGGAGTGATAGCGCCCCCCTCAGGATCATAGAAAGGGCTTTGTGGATGATCAAGGCTGGTCAGAGGACGAATCTTGTCCTGAGGCGCAGTAGGCTTGTTGGGAGACTGAAAAAACAGATAGACACAGTGAAACTTTGGGATTACCAAAATAACACACTGCCAGCCAAAGTGACTGAGCAAAGTTGAGCAAAGCACAAAAGTCAGAGAGGACAGGTCACACAGTATACTGCTGAGTGGTTTTTATGGTAGAGGCTTAATTGTCAACAATAAAGGTCTGCCAGCATGGGGCTGATAGAACAGCTCTGCCACAGGCTGTCTGGCCTATACAGTCCAGTCTCCATGTCCACTGAGAGCACAGGACAGGAGGTCAGTGATTGTGAGGGAGGGGCAGAGGGGAGGGCAGTACTCTGATTAATTAAGACATAAAGACTTTATTCTTTACTGGAGGCTTAATGACTTTCTCTACCTTTGCAGCAGTCCTCTGCCTGTTAGTGGAAAATGTTAAGATAATAATGTGACAGCTGAAGCTTAGATTTAACCTAGCCCACCAGGGGTCTAGTTAAACACACATCTGTCCATCCATCCATTTTCGTCCGCTTATCCGGGGCCGGGTCGCGGGGGCAGTAGCCTAAGCAGGGACTCCCAGACTTCCCTCACCCCAGACACGTCCTCCAGCTCCTCCGGGGGGACCCCGAGGCGTTCCCAGGCCAGCCGAGAGACATAGTCCCTCCAGCGTGTCCTGGGTCTTCCCCGGGGCCTCCTCCCGGCGGGACATGCCCGGAACACCTCCCGAGGGAGGCGCCCAGGAGGCATCCGGAACAGATGCCCGAGCCACCTCAACTGGCTCCTCTCGACGTGGAGGAGCAGCGGCTCTACTCCGAGCTCCTCCCGCGTGACTGAGCTCCTCACCCTATCTCTAAGGGAGCGCCCAGCCACCCTGCGGAGGAAACCCATTTCGGCCGCTTGTCTCCGCGATCTCGTCCTTTCGGTCACTACCCAGAGCTCATGACCATGTGTAAACACACATCTGGCCTAAGCTATTTTGTGGAGTTTATTTAAAGCTCAAATTTGATTATCAAATTATTATCAAATCGTTTGCAGATATCAGTGGTCAGCTCTGGCTTTGCAGTTGACAGCCCATCTTTCTGGAGCAGTGGTTTGGTGAGGAGTTCTGGTTCAGGAAGAATACATTGCTTTTGTGTGTGTTAAATGGAAATGACCAAAGATAGATGTGGTAATCACAGGAGGACAGTGTAGAGCAGAATTTGTATGGTGATGACACTGAAGGGGAGAGTGAGAGCATGTGTAGAGACAGAGGTTTGATGACAGGGTCAGACTATGAGTGTGAAGAGCCAGCTGCAGAGAAGTGTGAGGAGAGGGGTTACTCAGAGGGCAGAGCACAGTCTGAGCTGTGTCAAAATGTCAATACATTTTCACAAGGCAGTATAAATATAAATAAAAGCAAAGAGAGTCCACAAACCACTGCTTTATAGTTTTTATCTCACAGCTGAGATCAGGTAGTTAAGTCCACTTTTTTAAGTCCTTTTATATATATATATATATATATATATATATATATATATATATATATATATATATATATATATATATATATATATATGTTTATTAAATTAGCATTATGTTAATTGGTGTAATTGGTGTAGAAGGCTCAACAGCAGTAAATCCAAGCAGTAATCCTAGACCAAAATCAAAAAGAAGATGGCCTGACCTCATATGTGACCCCACTGTCTGTGCCTGCATCCCATGGGATCAGATCCTGGACCACCTTCTGCACCCAGCCACAGTCTTTGGTGCACAGGTCCTCTGCAGACAGACCCACGTTCCAGTCTGGACTGGGCCCCAGCATGGTCAGGAAGGACATGAGGTGTCGTGTGCGATCCACTGAGAACTCAGCTGAGGGAGCAGCTCGTCTAAGGGACAAACATTAGATCCTACTTTGTAATGTAGGCACACAAGCAAGGTCTATGATTTTGTCTTAGACCCTTTTATACTTAAGTATTAATTATTTGTGTTGAAAGAGCAGTTTGAGGTCATCATCACAACTATAACAACTTACAATTGCTATAAAATATTCCGCAGTATAGTGCCCTGAGTGACCCTGCTCACTATAAGAGTGAATGTTTTTCAAGGCTTTTTATTAGAAATACCTGAAATATAGATCAGATTAATGGCAAACTGTGGAAAATTTCAGGCAAAGGAAGCAATAGCATCTCTATGGAGACAAGCAGGTGGTGGCCTCCTTTCTTCAAGTTAGTGCATTTTTATTTATCCTGGTAGACCAATTTGGTTTTGTTTAAACTAACCCCAAAATATTTATAAACAGAACACATGGACATTTAGAAAAATCTTCATCATCAGTTAAGCACCATAATGCCATTTAACGAAGCCAAGAGGGACTTTATATCCATAATGTCAGATAGCATGTTTCTGAGGGGTGCACAGTCTGTCTGCAATTCCCTGAGCTCCCTCCTCTTATAAAACAGGGGGGGCAGGGTTCATCTCAGCAGCCACCTGTGCTCCACATTAAAATGCCAGGAATAGGCTAGAGAAATAGTAATCATTGTAGAACTTAGATTTTTCAATAACTTATAATGGCACTACAAAAAAAAACAACCTAAAAGACAAAAAAATAAAACAAGCTATTCGATTTTAAGGGGTAATATCCAGTGACATACAATAAAAAATAAAAAAAAAGGCATCAATTTGATTTGATTTTGAAGTGTATGGATATAAAATGCATTGTTTCTGCAGAATCACACTGTACTATAAAAGTGCAAAACACAAAAGAGCTGTGAATTCCCAAAATAAAACTTGGCTCATTAGCAGCTTTCTCTCATCAAACACCTCTCAATTTGGTGCCTCTGACAAACAGCACTTGTGTCTGCTAATCAAATGAACCCAGAGACCAGCAAAGGGCGTCCTTATTAAAGAGTCAACACTGTGAAAGTAGAAAGAGAAACTATATCTTATATGTGAGGTTGAGCAAAGATAGCTAAGATGAATGAGAATGGCTGGATCCACAAAAGGTCTGAGGGCAAAAATAACTTAACTTCATATATAAAGTCTGTGCCATTTGTTCTATGCAGAATTCTTTCAATATGACAAATCTTTGAGACCTTTTCTTAAGTGCAAATGCAGAAAAAGTCTGACATGTAAAACTCACCAGTTCTATTGAGCCTAGCAGCTACTTTCTGTGTGGGCAGCCTCTGACATTAAGGTAATTTAAATGTCATGGAAGTCGCTGTCTCAGGTAGAAAATGCTTTATGCAAGTTGCTGTTATAGTTTATTAGCTCACGTATTTAGAATATGGTGATGTTGAGGGCATTAAAAAGAATAGCAGCCTTTTGTTGAAAAATGTCAAAGGTACATTTTAAATATGTTGTGAAAGGCCCATATTACGCTATTTTCTGATCTATGTTATTTCCTCATCAAAAACATACTTGGAGTTGTGTTTTGTTACATTCACACACAAGTTCTTCTCTCAAACAGGAAACACAGTTAACCTCCTTTAGCCCTGGAATTGACAATCTCTACTTAGCTAAAGGTAAAATGTAGCTGTGAACAACTGCTTAATGACATCACAAGGTGGAACAGAGCATTTTGAGCTTGACAAATGTAAACAGAATAAAACTAATAACGCAAGATTACTCAGGACAATAGTCAATTTTGTGTATAGGACCTTTAAGTCAGCAGTCATGGTAAAGTGAGTTTTCATATTTGTTGTTTAATTGTAACCTCTCTTAGATATTAACGAGAAAAACATTCTGATTTGTGTTAAATTATGACATATTTACACAACATCTGCACAGCAATAAAAGAATTTCATTTATAATACTAAAACGGATAAGCCAGATGACAGCACAATTCTAACCACTAATCAAAAGTCTAATTTTCAGTGTTGTTTTTTCACAATCATTAGTGATGAGATTTAGAACATCATTACCAAGAAGTATTTCAGCAGTGTTTGTCCTCTGGTGTAGTAATCCAAATTACCCCTGCCTCCTTTCCTGCGTTGGGTATCTAAACCACAACGGAATTGCCCATATCCATTTATTTTGTGGGAGTTTTGGATTTAGTAGCGATGTAATGTGAGAACAAAGCGGGCTCTGGTCAGGCATTTCAATTACAAACTGGAGCTTAAAGTCATGGCCCTCACTGAGACCTCGGTTAGGAAAATATTACTATGCAAAGCTCTAGTGCACTGAAGTTGTTCTGTGGGAAATGAGCCAACATGCCTCTTGTTTTTCTCATGAATAAGAAATTAAATGTTATATATTGAAAGTAGCATCAGCATTTTGAAGTTCGTCTTTGGGGTGAGAGGGTGCTATGTACTTCAGATGTTCCCCGAAAGGTTCAATGTTGTTATTAATCCATTCAAGCAATTTATTCACTATATTTTTGTGCTTTCTGTTTGCAGTTCGTATCTAACACAATCCAAAAATAAGACTTGCAGACCCAGGATAAGTGAACATAAAAGCTCCTTACCTTTGTGGTGGTAGTGTTAAAAGCTCATACCAATTGAAAACAGCAGGATATAAAAGCTACTTACACATTCAGGGGCTGCCAGGCTGGCCACTGTGCTTTCATTTTGATCACAGTCAGGACGTCATCACCCTGAAAAACACAAAATGGACATATAAGCCAAGAAAGACGCAGAATCCAGCAGCTTTATTACATCCATCAGTGGTTAAACAAGAATGGTTAGGCACAATCAATAAGCTATTTCCACTTGAATTCAGGAAATCCATATGCTTGGTTGGATATGGATGTAGTCACAAAGGTTATTTTTTGTAAGTCAGAGTTCAGGTTAAGCCTTGTCTAGTCAAGCTTGATACATAATAAACAACATAAAAACGTAAAAGTGAAAATTCATGAATGTAACAATATTTGGTACTGCTACAGTATTTTAGAAATCAATAGACCAAAAATTGCAATATCTATTCAAAGAAATTGATCATCCTGTAAAAACAAAATAAAAACAAAAAATCATAATAGATAATATTTTGAGAAGCAGACTTTCATTCACTGTCATACAGCACCAAACAAGTTCTCCTAATTCATGGAACACAGCTGTGTCCATGGAACCAGATCATCTCACATCGAGACAGAAATCAGGTAAACTAGAATATTTGTTGTTGCAGTAAATACATTTAGGCTATGTTTGAAATTCTGTGAATAATGACTTAACCTAAAAGAAACATTTTAGACTGAGGGCTTTTATTTAATTTACCTTGATCTTTTTAATAATTTGTGTGGTTATATTTACCCAAATACAATGGCTACAATTATTTAAGTAACATAATTTCAACTGCAAACACAAACGTGTTTTCTTCAACCTGACATTTTCATAGAGGCATTTGTACTTTAAGCAGTTAGACTTTCTAAACTGAGTCCAACAATTTGAACAGGAATCTCAAATACAATCACAATGTTTTTCAGAAAAAAATCACAAATACATTTATCAGTTTTCTTTATGGGACTAACAAATACTAAGCCTTTTCCTTTGTGTTAAAATCAAGTTTTAATTTTTGTAAAGTGACATTCAACTACTAAATTCATAAACTGGGGTAATGCCTTGTAAGTGAATCATCTGCTATGGTTTAAACCTGCCGTCTCATTCTTGTATTTACCTCAGAAATCCTTCAGCGAAAAGATAAGATTATTATTCTTATTAATTAATTCTAAGCTTGTCTGGACATTATCTTAAACTGCTCCAGGGCATCTCTAAGTATATTCTTTTCATTTTTATCATCTTTTTATATATGACCTTAAAGGCATCAAGGCTGTGAATTTTTAAACTACTTAAAGAATAAGTCTAAACGTGTTAGGTTTTTATTTGGTAAAAAGTTCCAAAAGTTTTCAAGTGTATTGCTGATGAGTGTTACTTTTGTGTCAAATAGCAGATGTATTTATGTGGGTAAAAATGTCCCCTTCATGGTCCATGGGTGGTATGGTCTTTTTTGAGAAGCAGCCATTTTTCTTCCCGTCAGTTTGAAGATGTGCAATAGTATATTCAACCTGTACTTTCCAGGTTTCAGCATATTATCGTGTGTCAACTTTTCCCTCTCAGACACGCTAGCTCCTGGTGGCTTCTAATTGGACAACTTATGCCACTAATTAAAGCCTTCCCACTGGTGAAATTATTAAAAAGTTCAGCTTGGTTTTCATCATGCCAAAAGCAGGCAGGCAGAGAAAGACAGACGGACATTTTGAGATTACATATGCAGACCTGAACCACCACACGCCAGCTTAAATCTGCTACTCCCACTAATGATAGGGATGTCTAAAAGTGAACCCTATTAGCAGGAGAACATGGGCCAAATACACGCTCCTTACACAACCTGTCATTTCAGTGCTTCTAATTTAATACAGAGCAAAGACACGTTTCCATCACATACTCGGTATGTGACAGGCTCAAGATTAACCTTTCAGTTGTTGTGTTTTTACTGCATATCATTATCAGTTTTGGTGATAATGCGGAAACCTTATATTGCAGAATGGAACCTTTATATTAGAGTATTTACAGCATTTTGGCTTATACAAAATTAATGTATTCATTTTACTTTAATGGGACTATAGAGCCTCGATAGCAGTGCACTAAAGTCAAAGCTTGCCCATTTTATATTTTAAGTTTCTACTTGTAAGTATTTTACTGTCAAAAGTTTCATTATGATGGTCATTCAGCACCATGCCATTATAATGATCCATACCTGGGTAAACTGGAATTATTAACATAAATTGCCTTGTCTACTAAAAATAAAAATCGTTTAAAAAGCAAAACATACAATAACACATAATGTAATCTGGTTTTGTTCTCATTATATATGCAGGTCAGGTGAGCTTCCTGTCATTCATCACTGTCGGACCACAGCTCTGTACATCTGGCTACTGAACAAACTGAACTAAATGGGACCAAAACTCCTAATAACGCACACATCTGCTCTAAATCAATTACTGTAGCAGAATGTAATAAAACAGAGTGCGTTTGTCAAAGTCAACCCACCCATTCATCTCTTATTATTCAGTATGTAAGTGACTAAAGTTATTGTTTTTATTGTCTACTAAGATTGCAATCAGATGATCCTTTGTACAATATAAGTGAGAATATCCATCTAACAAGCTGTCAATAAACATTACGTTAAGCTCAGTCTCAGCTCATAGACCATGAAGTTATAATTAGTCTATAAGATTAGAAATGTGCCTTTACTGTCCAGTGGCTCTCTGTTCAGGGAAAGAATTGACCAGTCTCTTGGCTCATACTGAAGAGCCCAGCCATGAAATTGAGTCAAGGCAGGCCCAGGGTCTACACTTTAAAATACTGCTTTAACAAGATAATGCCCACATAGTGCACAGAGAAGCTTAGCAACCCATGCAACGATTAGCCACATCCATTACCAGGACAACAGTGCCACGTGCCCCTGCAGAGAGTCTAGCCTTTTAGGTCTTTCTTATATAAGTCCTACAGCAGCATAGTGGGGTTCAATACATCTGTGTAATTACATGCAGTGACCATAACAGGTTCCATACTGTGGCTCAAAATAAAATTGACCTCAGATCAAATGTACTTACATTTAAATGAGGTGTGTGGTAGATGTGGTTTACTTTACTTGAGTTTGTAAAAAAAAAAATGTTTTCTTGTCTTTTTATGCAGTCCAACCTAACAAGTGAAAGTACTTTTTGTGCTAATTTTCAGTTGTGGATAAATGCAAGGTTTTCATCGGGAAGGATCATGTAAAGCTGTTAACAGGAGAGACCTTCAATGTGGCAAGTACTGAGCATCAAAGCGAGGGATATAAAAGGGCAAACTGGTCAGTATAGGGAGAGGTTTAAACTCTCTATTTGTTTAATAATAAAGTATTGAGAGCACACAATACAGCTGCTGCCTTTGGTGTCTGTTGCAGTCAGTGTGAGTAAATGTGCTGGTCCATGTTTGTGTGGTCAGAGAGAGTGTGCCTATGCATGTCTCTGCACTGATAGTATTTGTGTTGATGTACTATCTGAGCCATGTGCTTGATTATATGCCTGCTCATGCATTAATGGCCTTCAAATGCCACCATGAGCTTAAACTGTGAATAAGAGGCCACACCTGTGCACTGGCTCTACACAAGTTACAGGCACAAGCACATGTCAGTAGGCTCTATTCATGCTTACGTCACAAAACCGGCAGGCGTTTGGAAACATGCGGATGACCACTTCCTTTGGGTTCTGTTGGCTGTAGTAACTGGGAAGACTGCAAAAATGGACCAGTTTTCATCATCTAGATGTTATTGTATTCTTTCTTTTTTACTTTTACAAATTGCCTATTAATTTCTGTATTATCATTTGTCTAATTTACTTAAAACTAGAAAAGCACTCAGAGAGCGCAGACCTCCGCCAAGGACTACCCCCATTTTTTATATAAATTGCGATAAAATCAGTCTTCTGGATCAGATCCGGATCAGCCTTTGGAATATGAAAGAGGATCCCATTGTCCATCCCTGAGTCAAATTTCATGGGGTTTGGTCAATAATTAACCGAGATATCGAGAAACAAAATTTTTGGCCCCATTTACCACAATGTTAACTAAAATTTCAAAGTGATCCAGAATCCAGGATTTCTTCCGGATCACCCCCAAAATGAAATCAGTTCTTCCTTTTCACATTTCCAACAAATCCTGAAAATTTCATCAAAATCGGTCCATAACTTTTTGAGTTATGTTGCTAAGAGACAAACAAAACAAACAAACAAACAGACAAACGCCGGCAAAAACATAACCTCTTTGGCGGAGGTAATTTTAAAAAAAGCATTCCCCTATATAGCTCAACAGTTATAATCAGCTGCCTGTAAGTGACACTGAAGGCATGATTAGAGTCACGTCCCCCATGGAAAGCTTTGGCATGTTGTGAAGACTGCTGCTGCCGAATCCATGGTTTTATCATACATGCCCAGTGTCTGTAACTACACTGGAAGCCGCATGTTTCCAACGTCTTCTGGTAAGTGTGAATGAGCCTATATGCACCCTGTGAGTGCACTGGAATGACTGAGTCTGATTCACTGTGCACACGGCTACACAAACACACTGTTCATGATTGGTTTTAGATTGCAGGTGGGAATATGCGCAGAAGAATGCGTTCACCAAAATATGGTGCATATAGGAGCCATTGGAACTCTATAGTTTTTCTTTTCTTCAAAGAAAGATGTCTCTCAGTCTCTGTTTTTACATTGTGTGTTAACATAAAAACATGACCAACAATGGGATTTAAATCACTGTCAATCTGGCTCAAATTTGCACTAAATGTGAAGGTAGAATCTAATTTGAATAGGTTAGATATTAATAGCATTTATTAAATTATTCCCCCCAATGAGTCCCACTTACCCCAATGTGTCCCACTCAAGCAAAGATAACATAGACTCTAAAACCGTTCAATAGAGTGTTTTGTGACAAAGAATTCACATGGTACACTTCACACAGTATCTAAAGGAGAATGGGCTCATACTGCATGAATAAAGATTTTCTAGTGTTGACAGGCTCAGGCTACCCTCATTTGCAATCCCCAGTCATCAGTTTGTTATTTGTATAATAGTCCGAAAACAGCACTTAAACTTGGATAGTGTTAGAAATGTTGTGTTGTTAA